CCGCAACTCCAGAGACCCGCAAAAACGCCGTAAACATAAACCAAAAACTTTATTTAACTTTTTCGACCAGTTCCACATTCTTTGATCTCTGCTAATCATTTCCCGAAAATTTCAGTCTATTTGAACGAGAAATGAGCGAAATATACGGTTTTTGAACTTTGACGGTAACAAGTGAAAAACTAGATTTTCACCAATATGGTTTTGGTGAGGTTGTGGTTTAGTGGGGAATGAAATAAACATCGCCACAATGATGAGCGTGGTCAATTATCTATGATCTACGTGTTTTTGAGACAGGCAGATGTGTCCTCGGAAAACGTCGGTATCTCCAGAACCGAAGGAGACGAAAGTCTGGACCTTGCGCACTTTTGAGGAGTGATGTTCTGGTTATCGACTAATGTTATTTGAGATTGAATTTCATAGTGTGATTTGGAAACGGTAAGCTTTCGGATTTTGTCTCGAATGGTACACTATGGTAAACCTTATCGAAAGTCCTGACTTTTTCATAGACCGACGTGCCCCGGTGTCTGGTTTCTAAAACTGAAAACCGTAGGTCGCTATCACCTTTCGTTCTCGAGTTATTCGGCTCGCAATCACTCGTCTTCTATTTTGAAATGGATAGTAGTTATAAAAGAATTTTCTAATATTAATAACTTTACTTTTGATTTAGTTATTACGTGTCAAAAGGAAATAGTTTAATATCGGTTATATTAGGATTAGAGTGGTCACAAGCATGTGATGTAGACATTGCAATACGTATCAATGGTTTACCGAACAACTACACATTTGATTATAAAACAAGTAATTAGAATATACATCTTATAGATTATGATGAATCGATCGGTTTTTCCTTTTCCTATAGCTTGTTCAAGAAATCAATCGACTGTGTGTACAATTAATATCGAACAAGTAGCAGCATTCAATTGGATTTACATTGAAGTAGCTAAAGAATCTGGTTGTACATCATCTGTGTATAGTCTGTTAGATGTTCGTATGACAGGTTCGTTTCCTCATATGTTCACTCTTTATTTACATACATATTTTATTCGTACGATTAGATTGCTCAACGATGATGTCAAATCAAAATGGATCATGTATCCGATCATATCCTACCCGACGTATTATGTTCAACTATTATTATGACTTTTTATATGTACCATTGTACTTGGAACGTCCAAATTTTACTCCGACAAGTAGTTCAAGTGCAATAACAATGAATAAAAATAATTCAATATATGCTGTGGAATTTATTGTCGATGAACGAAATATTGGTGGCACATTAAATTTGGATTTTGATGTTCGAGCGATGGTATGGCTCCTATTTTATTTTACTCTTAAAAAAAACAAAAATTTTAATGACAGTAGTTTTGATATTTTAGTCTTCAGTATCGGTAAAAACGAATGTGAGTGTATACATTTGTTTATCAAAACATTATCCACAAACAATGTATAATTGTGAACAGAATTATTTAATTAATATACCAAAAAATTCTTTAACTGTAAGATCAATACCGTATCCTGAGATAGCATTATGGTATTTAACAATTCAACATGTTTGTAATGAGTAAGTTTGATAAGATTGTTTTCATATTGTTCAATAATTTCAATTCATACTATTATTTAGTTCGGAAATTATTTGCTCCAATTCATCATTAAGTGTTGTATTTCAAATAACATCATCTCAGTGTACTAGTCAACAATGTGGAAAATATGGTTTATGTCGTATAATGACAAGTCAACAAAATGTATTTTCAACATGTGTTTGCATTGCTGGTACTGTTTATAGATCTTTCACATATCTAGTAGAAGTTTCATTTGTTCTGATGTTTTAGGTTATCGAGGTTATGCTTGCACAGATTCATCAAAAGCAAGTGTAGCAAAAAGTTTTAATGCTGTTTTATTTTTAACATTGAGCAATTTAATGTTCATACCAGCCATTATATTAGCTCTGAGTCGACGTCTCTTTATCGAAGCATTATTCTATTTTTTTAATATGTTCTTTTCAACGGTAAGTAATTGATCGTTTTCTGTTATGATTATTAATATTTATTTTAATTTTTTAGTTTTATCATGCTTGTGATCAAGATATCTATAAATATTGTATATTTAAATATGATGGATTGCAATTAACAGATTTCATTGGTTCTTATGCATCATTTGTTATTACACTAATTACTATGGCCACTATACCACGTACAATTAAAGTATTTTTATTTATATTGGGTTTGCTAACTTGTGTTGCTATCAATGCACGTGATCGTTTTGATACGGTACAATTTATTTGTCTAGTATCGATCTCATTCGCTTTTACAGTCTCTACATGGGTATGCATGTTCACAGTAATTTGTTGGTTGATAATATGATAACTTTTTTTCTTTTACTAATATTAGATTATTGTTTCTGTAATGCGACGTCGTCTTCATCCCACACGCAAACGTTTATTACTTGTTATACCTGGCTTTTTGCTGGCTTTCGCTGGTGTTATATTATTTGCTTTTGTTGAAACAGATTCAAATTATTGGTATATACACAGTATATGGCACATATTAATGGCATCATCAATCATGTTTTTCTTGCCACAAAAACAATTGTATAAAAAAGGTATGATTATTTTATTCATTTTGAAAACGTTCCAAATGTTAGACCCATCTTTGTTCCAGATGTGATGTGACACTGCGCTACAATTAACGTAATTTTTTTCACATGTTTATATTTGCATGACAAATATAATCGCCAAATTTTTGAGAATGATTATGTACCCTATATTTAAACATTTTTGTTTTTATATTGCTTTTTGACAAAAAGTCTGAGATTAAACAAAAGTAATGATTCATGTTCATTTTTTTGTATAGCTTTTAAGATAGTTATCCGTCAAAAAGTGAACATATGTTTATTACTTTTACTTTCTCTCTCTCAGATAAAAAAAGAAACTGTTTTGGCAAATTTGTGAGAGCATGATAAACTCTTAACAAAATTGATACTTTGCATTTCGCATGTGTATCTGGTAGAAATTTTGAACTGAATTCACTAAATTCTACAGATCATAAAAATAAAATAAGTAAATATTTTATTATTTAAAATTTATTTAATTTTTAGAAAATGTCGAATTAAGAACTATGACATCATTGAACGCTAAAAATCAAAACTCCATATCATCATTAATAAATGCTCCAGACTTAACAAATATAGTGAATAATCAGTCTCAAGCCCAGTCAGTTTTTGTATTGGCACCACCTGTTCTCGATAGTGCATCTGTATCATCGTCTATCACCGATACATCAAAGACATCCACCGATGACCTTATTAAAAGACGTTGATCATCATAATTTAATTATATTAAAAGATAACATTTTTTTGACAAATTTTCATGACAAATTTTTTTTTTTTCTGTTGTGATAGATTTTTTTTTATATTTTACTTATACTCGTTGATTGATACAATTAATATTTTACAAAATGTTTATTCAGATTATTATTTGATCTAATTAGGCATGTTTTCTTGTGTTCGCACATAAATACCTTGTTTTACTCAGAGTTATGTGCATGAATTACTATCCCTTTTTTTGTACCTGCTATTAGTTGCATATACATAAACTATTCGTTTTGCTTATTTGTTTCTTTTTATATGAAATCTACTTCTATATTTCACTTCTATACAAAAGTCACATCATGTCACTTACTTCATGTCACTTACTTCATGTTGTTGTTGTTGTTGTTGTTTTTTGTAGAAAAATTATTCTATTTTTTTATGTTTACTGTTTTTTTATACATATTCTCATGGAGATGTAAACCTTGTTATTTTTCCTATATTGTTCGTAAAAGCTTACGCGTAATAGACGTATGTTGAGCTCAATTTTTTTAACTGATATTTTCTTTGTTGTCAGTTTATTTTAACTGACAACTTTTGCTGCTACAAATCAAAAAATAAAAATATGTGATTTCTATCATCTACTATTTTTAACCTTGAAACAATGAACTCATAAAAACATAAAACAAACCAAAACGTTTCTAATTTGGTTGATGGACATGGAAAGGCTAGATGCTATTTGTATTTGCTATAAGAAATTTGTTTGTTTTAGTCTCTTCAACTCGTTTAAGTTATACACACATTTTTGCTCCTTTTTCTAGTATACTAGGCATAACAGAAAATAGAAATGTCGTTTTTTTCTTAGAATGACGCTTATGTACACGAAAAAAGATATGTATTTTGACCTGTCATAAAGATAAAAATACTTATTGACACGCTTTCTTTCAAACCACTCGAACCCAAAACAAAATCGACCGATTTCTATATTAATAAATCGTATAAAAGCACCGTGTATATTAATGATAAACGTTTGTGAGTTTATCCTAACTATTAAAATGATAAGAGAATTAATTATTTTTAAATCAATTTTTGTCAATGGCAACTCAAAACTGATGATACCTGATAAATGACATATGTTGTTGATTATATTTTTAATCTTGATAGTATCTAATAACATTTGTCACATCTTTTGTTCCCTCATATATATTGTCATTCAATTTTTCTTCAATTTTATCAATGTATTCATCCTCACTTCACTCACTCTCATAATTTTTCATCCTTTATCAGCTTCTGCGTATATCAAATTGCAAGGAGAACAAAGCCAGATTCTATGTATACATATTTCTATTGTTCACAGATCTCTGGCAAAAAAAAAGTCACGTAAAATCCGTGGCAAAGTCACATTAAAAATGTTGCTTTTTCGTGACATCCGGAAAAAAACGTTATTTTCAACATTTTTGCCGTCAACTTTTGCAGTCAGATTTTTTCTGTCGCGTCACATTGTCACATTTTTGTCGTTTCAAACCACAGGTTTTAGTGTCATCACAACGCTAGACAGTGTTTCTAATGATTGGTGGTCTCTGTGAAAGCAAAGCGATCTTCCACTTTGTAAAAGTCGTTTCCTACTCTGTTTTTCACTTCGAAAATGAAGAAGACCACTTCACTTTTTCAAATTTATGCTTCGCGTTTTTCTGATCAGGACTAATTTCGCCCTGCTGATTAATCTTATTGGCTTAATCCCTTTTACCACACAGAGATACAACTGTCTGTTTGTCCGATCGTCAGACAAACGAGTTGGTTTATAGTAGTTTTAAGCAAATACTAGAATGTCGCTTTACTTAATAAATTGCATAACGGCCATTTTCCTTTGTATCAGATAAAAACATTTAGCCATGAAAAGTCATTAGCCGTTATCAATAATATCAATAACGACGATTTTTACTTTCTTCTTCATCGTTATTGTTCTGCGTTCCTTATTTTATGAACTACGTTGAAGAAATTAAAGAAAAGTTGTTTTTTAAAAGTTCTTTTTATTGCTTGCTCCGAGGAAGTTCAAGACTGGACCTAGCTGACGCCAAGATCGCCGAAGAGGTCTAAATTTTTATTTTTTTGTTTTACTACTGTGAATTTTTGCTTTTTTGTTCGTTTTCTATAAGCTTTCTTAACAATTATAAACTGTACAGTAAGAGTAAAATAAGAGTTATCTGGCCGGTCAAATTTTTCCAACATTTTCTTTACGTGACTTCTTTAAAAAAAGTTGTCTGCTCCGATGAACAGTAATCATTCATTCCGGCTATGTTGTATCTCGCAATGTTCACCACCTTTCCGCAAAATGTAGCAAAAAAAATGCAGCACTCAACAAGAAAAACATACGATCACTGTAAATTTGAAAAACGAAACGTCCGTGGTTTTTTCATCTGCTTTTCTCTAAACCACATACAAAAGTTCGTTCAATCATTGAGTAAGGTTCGTGAACTATGTAATCACGAGCTTTTCAACCTGGAAGTTGTCAGTCAGATCTGTAATTTTTCCGTGAATATATAGATTAAAGTGCGTGAAAAATTACAGAAAAAAGCCCGTGATTACATAGTTCACGGACCTTGCTCAATGATTCAACGAACTTTTATATGTGATTCAGAGAAAAATAGGTGAAAAAACCATGGACGTTTCGTTTTTCAAATTTACCGTGACATATATAGGCATGCACCAATACAATATATTGGGTCCCAATAATATTGGTCACCCAATCTATTGGAACCAATAATATTGGTCACCCAATCTATTGGAACCAATAATATTGGTCACCCAATCTATTGGAACCAA